CTCCTTCTCTGGAGATATTCAAGACCTGCCTGGACAAAGTCCTCTGCGGCCTGCTGTAGGTGACCCTGCTTTGGCAGGGGGGGTGGACTAGATGATCCAAAAGGCATATAAGGGATAACAGTGAAGAATACAGTGTGCAAAAGGAAGAAAAAGAGAAGGAAAATAGCAGACAGACCAACAAGGAATGTTTCTCGTCAAAATAATTTCTGAATGCAAAAGCGATGATGAATCCAGGGGCTTTCACGCAGCCTTTGATCCCAGCTGCCAGCGAGGGTCTGTGCGAGCGGTGTTTCGGTGGATTGCCTTCTTCCCGGCGAGCGTCGCGGAGCTGAAGGGACGCGCTCCCAGCGTGCTGGTGAAGGGGAGAACAAACGCGGCTGCGTGTGGGCCAGCTCCCCCCGGGGAGATCTCATTTATGGCTGTGGGCTATCGGGTAGCACAGCAAATCCCTCCTTGGGCGAGGAGCCCCGGCTCTCCCCGGCGAACTGCGGACGTGTCTGCTAGCAGGGACGGGCTGTGACACAGCAGCCTTTGTCCATAGTCCTTGCGTGCCTTCCCCAGCTGGTGTGAGTCAGAAGTCAGCTTCTTCCTCGCCTGCATCTTTCGTATTCACTTTCAGGACCAGACGGAGCTTTCGGTGCGTGGATAAGCTGTTTGAGCACAGCCTCCGAGGAGCGGGTGAGCAGCCAGCACGGCATCAGGAACCATAGCCAGGTTACAGCAAAAGGAAAGGGTTTCAAAGAGAAAAGTCACACAGCCTGTTTCCCACTTTATTTTGGACCCTGGGTGCTTACAGAATAAACACATGCTGCCGTTTTTTTTTTTTAATCCACTCCCCAAAACATGTTTCTACCTGAAAAAATACCGACTACATCAAACGCTTGCTGAGACCTGGCAGTACTACAGAGAGAAATCACCGCTCAACCAGATTTTTTCCAGGTATGTGAAACATAACGTTTACTGAATTATAAAAATCCAATCCACAAATATTGATTACAGGTGAGGACCATCCAGAGATCCACCGTAATAGGAATAACACAGTAAGTGACAGTAATAAGTACGACACCCTGGTGCACCATCTGCTTGCTTGAGTGCACCATCTGGTTCTTCTACTGCTGCTATTTGTGCCCTGATCTTATTTTAGGGGCACCGAAGGACAGATTCAAATACCAGCAAAAATAAAAATGACATGCTATTTATTCATTGTTCTGCTTAAGTGGATGTCTTCATTGTTTTCACCGTTCTCTTGCCCTCAATATTACTGCTAGCTAAACCCACGCGTATTTTCTGACACACAGTATATTAAAGCATTAGCAATGCTGACAGATACTCCCCTCTTTTGGTCATCTCACGACTTGCTTAGGCAGGTATCAAGCCTGTGTGTAAAGTCGTGTTTCATTCTGAATCATCATTGGTATTTATTAACACTGAAGTGTTTTCATGCGGCACTTGGATGCTGGGAAGATGTCTCGTGTGACCAGACTGACTCCTGGACCATCGGTTCACACCACAGCTGGGGGTGACTGGTACCACCGACGTTCACCGGGCAGGAGTGGCCTCGCACAGAGTTGGCGATGGTCTCCTCGCAGGCAGAGAACAGGTCCCCCAGCGCCAGCGCTGCCATCTCCTCTACGACGTTGTCCGTATGCACCCGGGTACTTGTGCGGCACCGAGCACCGAACGGTGCCCGGCCCCGGGGAGGTCTGTGGGAGGGGGGATTTGAATGATTGCAGGCATCCAGCTGCCTCAGCAGATGAGTTTAGCTATCTCTTCACTGGCTCTCGGCCAAGGTCCGTGTGCGATCAGAGGAGATGGTTGATGTGGTCTTCCCGCACGGCTGCTGCGGGCAGCTCGCCAAGGGCCATCCGTTTTGACACCAAATGGGGTTTGTTTAAGAACATGGCACCTTTTCCCATTCCTCACACTGCTTCTGGATTACCTGGCTGATGTCAGAGGGGATTTCTGCACGGCTCAGCTGCACGACTTCTGTCCCTTGTCATATCTGATAGCCTGAGACACTACTGAGCATCTTCAAAGGCTTCCCCGAACACCCCTTTCTGGGAATGAGCCCTTCTTATGTGCCTGGGAAGGGCCATGACATCCCATACCTGGTTGCCCGGTGAAAGGTTGCTGCCTCTTGGGTCACCTCTCTCAGCAGACCGTAAGATAAATGTCCATTTTACTTCTGGGCTAGTGCTTTATCTGTATTTTTTCTCCCCCCACTCCATGGTGACTCCTGATCCTGCGCTCCCCAGGGAATTAGTCACTCACACATCCCTGGTCCACATCTTCCATCCTGCAGCCTCCCCTGCTCCTCCCCGGAGCTGCATCTCCCACCCTTCCCTTCCCCAGCCCCACAGAAAGAGCCTCTCCCTCACCTTCTTGGCCCTCTCCTGGCAAAACTTGAAGAATAAGGAACGTCGACATTAAAAAAAACCACCTATCTTGGGTTGCAGATAGTGACCATTACTGAAAATGAGACCAATGAGGGGGCTGAGGAAGGGCAGGAGACCAGCCAGGCCATCCTCGGACAGAAGTAAGCACAAGAGCTTACTTGGTAAGCTTCTGTGGAGGAGAAGGGGACTGATGAGACGGCCACCTGTAAGTGACCGACCATGGCACCAAATACGCCTTCACTGCTGCCCTCCTGCACGTGGATGTCCTCGCAGACACCGAGGCTCAGCCCTGCTTGCTTCCAGACGTTTCCCAGCCAAGGTTGAGGAACATGGCTGTGGGGCCACAAGTGCAGCATGGTCCTCCCCACCTCGACACTCACAGGAGCATGTGGTCTGCAGGAGCGGACAAGCAGGAGACAAAAGCTGAGTTACCCCTGCTCCGCATGCTCAGCTTTGCTTGCTGCTTCCTATAACAACATAAATGCCTGAAATAATGTCTGCGTGAGCACCACCGTGAATTTTGCCGTGTAAAATCCTCCTCGTGACAGCTAGCTGTCACTCTATGCTGACAGCCGAACCGAGATGCGATCGCTAACCCACTATATTTAAACTCCCCACCAACCAGTGTGGTTTCTGGCTGCGGCATCGCCTCCTCCCAGTTTCCTCGGACTGCGCTGTGCCCGCTCCTGTCTCTGCTCCTCGTCGTGGGGTCTCCATCGGCGCTCACCTGACAGCTCCCTTCGCCTCCCCAAACGCGGCTTGGTGGGCAAAACAGCAGTGCTCTTAAAAACACATTGTCTCCCTGAGAGTCAGCCCGTGCTCCCTGACAGGTGACGGGGATTCTGTGTCCGTCTCCAAGGCCACCTTCCCGCTGGGGCCCCGAGCAGAGCCGCATGCCCCGGGACGGACAGCAAGCGCAGGGACAAGGACGCGGCCCCGTTTAACGGCAGCCAAAGCAGAGGGAGGCAGGAGCTGGGGATGGGATCGCTCCCAAGGGTAGTATTCCCCCAACGCCTGCACCCAAACTCTACGACCAATCATTATATTCCCTGAGTGCCCTCTGTATACATAATGCGAATTAACACCGTCCTTTACAATTAGCTGTATATATTAAATGGACACAATCAACATAGGATTTTACTACTGACAAATAAATTGTCCATTAAGAGCTGAATAAATATAAGCCACCCATGTTCTTCTGAGCCTTTGGGGTTTTGGGGGGAAAAGTCAGTAGCGATGGAGTTGCTTAACAGTTAAAATCCCCACTGTAATGTCCAAGGGGGACGTCCACATCCCATCCCTGCTTCAGCTAAGGAGCTGGGAAACCAAAATTCCTGCTCGTGACCCTTCCCCAGCAGTATTGCTGGTCACAGATGACTTGGCCTCCTCCAGCGTCTTGCTCAGAAGCAGAATGTACCCCACTTGCTGCTTCAACAAAGTATCCCGCCAGGTTGGGCTGCTGAATTTGACTTGATGCTTTGCCTCGAAACTGGCACTCGCTTGGACTTACCCGCTGTTACCCCCCTTGCACAGTGGAGATCCTAATGCCCTTGACCTGAAGGTTCGTGCTTCCATTTCAGCGCCAAAGAGAGACTTGCATGGCTCAGACCTTATTTTTTCCCCAGCTCTGTCAGTCTCAGGCCAGGTCCTCCTCCTCCCTTCTCCCGGGCATGAAATCCCAGCTCTGCTGTAGCCAACCAGGTCCCCACTGGCCTGATATCCACCTGCTATCGCTGCGCTTCGTGGCATTCACGCCATCTGTCACGCTGTATTACATCTGCCCGACCAAGCGCCGTCATCGGGGAGCTCGAATATGCTTCATAAAAGCCTTGAGATATACCTTTGGAGCAAAATAACAGCGGGGTAATGGAAATGTGTAACGCAGCGTGAAGAGAACCTGGAGGGTCAGAGAGAGAGAGAGGGTTTTCAAAGCAGGGTGATGGGGGGAAAATCTGCCAAGAAATTAAATATTGAAAAATTTGATGGTGTTGAACAGCATCATGAACCTCAAGCCTTTAGGAATCGGAAGGTGGACTGGAAGAAAAAAAAAAAAAGGCAAAAAAGAGTGATTTAGGGTTATAATTATCTTTTTCATTTATCTTCTTCTTGAGACATCTTACAAATTTCCTCGCAGTCCCAGCGCAGGGCTCAGAACTCTCCTTTGAAAAAGCAACGAAAGTCAGTGTGGGGTCCGGAGGGAGCTGCCGGCCGCAGATGGGGCAGTGCCGTGTTCCCCGGCCCCACAGCACACACGGAGGCGTGGGGACGAGCTGTATCCCCACAGAGATCCGGCGGGTTTGGGCCCCACTCCCACCAAAACCATCGCTCCTGCTGAGCTCCGGGGAGCCCGCCAGCACGGCCCAGCGCCTGCCGAGGCCGGGCATCGCTCGCAGGCGAAGCTCTGCGCAGGACTGCCGTGAGGTGCCACCTCATTTGGGAACGGCCACACAGCACAGCGAGGGGTGACTTGAGCAGCAACAGATTCTCTTTTTAGCTTGCTGTCGCTGCTTTTAGAACTGTTGTCTTGCATGTTGTCCTGACCTGGGGTTTCGTGCACGGCAAGTCTCGACCAGCCTCTTGCCTGCAGCCTGGGCTCTCTTCTAAGCACACAGAGCAGAAGCAAGTAGGAGAGCAAGGGCTAGTTTAGGGCCCTGACACCCAAAAGATGGGGGACCCAGCACTGCTGCCTCCCAAAAGCCCTTGGCCAGCGCTGGCTGACGGGCTCAAAGCAAAGCAATTCGAGAGAGAAGAGTCACAGAGCAGAGACCGTGGAGACAGGACTTGCAGAGCTGATGACCGAGTGATCTTTTTTACTTTATGTACTTACTAATGTTTGCAAAGCTCGTGTAATTATTTACTTTAAGGAAAAAGGAAACAAAACCAGCAAACCTTCTCATGACAGAATTAAAAGCAGCATCAAATCAAGCGCTGGCAGCAACCCCAGTGCCACCAGCACAGCTGCCCAGCAGAGCCAGTGCCCGTCCCCGCACCCTTGCCCCCAGTCACCGCTCTGCGCGGGGCTGGGTGTTGTTCCAGGCAGGGGAGCGGGCTCTGCCTGGACTCGTGCCCACACCCGAGCGGGTGAGCTGGCTGAGGCCGGGCTGCGTGGCAGCAGCGGCAGGGCTGCACCCTCCTAGCCCCAAGCCTTCAGGCTCAGGAACAGCGGGTGCGGACGGAAGGGGGTGGCAGCGCTGCCTGGTCAGGGCTCCATCCAGCTCCCCTTGCCCACGGGACTCTGAGGAACCACGCGACTCGATTGCCCTGGTGCTGGGGAACCACGGGGCTCGATTCACCTGCCCTTTCCCACATCCCTTCGCCCCCACTCCAGATTTCACTCCCATTTACACTGTCTTCCCCAGCCTGGTGGCACCAGCCACCCACACACCACGCTCCATCATCTGCCATCAATCCCTGCGCCATCCCCGCCTCCGGACACCAAACTCCCAGAGGTACAAACACCATTCCACTGTCTTCCCGCTCCTCGGAGCTGCTGCCAGGCCCAGCCACGCACCACTCCTCTGCCCGGCTCTGCACCATGGGCACGGGTCGTCAGCTGGTACCTGCGCACGCGTCTGCAGCCTGCACGATGGCCGCGCTGGAGAGATGGCAAAATAAATAACGGCCGAGCCAGCAGGCACAACGGCC